TGGTTAAGCATCTGACTTTGGGTCAGGTCATGATCTCATGGTTCATGGGTTCTGTGCTGTTAGCTCAGAGCCTAGAGCCTGCTTCAGGTTCTGTGTCTCTCTAACCCTCCCCCGCTCACGCTCTTGTTTCTTTCTCAAAAATAAATAATAAACATTAAACATTTTTTTTAAAAATAAAAAGGGAAATAAAATGTTATCTTAGAAAATAGGAGGAGTTTGTTAGGTTGGATTCCCCGAGAAACAGACATTAAGGCAAGGATTTGAGTATGTCATTTAGGATTTGATCCCAAGAAGTACCAGTAGGGGAGTGGAGAAGCAAGGCTGGGTGGGAAGTAAGCCAGTGTGCAGGCTGCGCCTCAGGGCATCTGGGGTTTAGTCTTGCTGGAGAGCCTCTGGGAGACAGTGCTGTACATACTTCAAAGTTGTTTCATCCTGAGGTGAGGAAACAAGTTTACCCACCCACTTCCTTACATTATTCACAAGTGCTCGCAGGGGCATAGATCCCCTCATTTCTGGCCTATAGGCAGTTAGGAAAGGCTCTTGGGGCTAGAGGAAGCCTGCAGGCAGAGTTGTGGATGCTTGCAGTGAGAAGTTTTTGGATATATGAAACATACAGCTAAGTTTCTGTAGCTCACTAGGTTTGTTCCTATCTCCCACTAAGTGTCTTCTTATTTGGCATCTGACCTAGGCCTGCCCCCAGAGAAGAAAATGTCTTGTCCAGATGATGCTGCCTCCAAAATATCTCTTGAATCAGTATACCTTTTTCCTCATGTCCAGGCTGTGAACATCCTTTGCACTACATCACTATATTCCTAACTGCTGTCAGCCTTTCTGTTCTTGCCCTACCCCCACCCCATCCATTCTTCCCCACAGCAGCCACAACATCCAATAAAACAAAAATCAAATAATATTATTCCCCAGGCCAACTCTTCAGGGGTTTTTCATTGAATATAGGACGTATCCACATACAGTTCCTAAATGGTTTACTATCTGACCCTGGCTCAGATCTCACCATTTCCTTTCACTGTCTACTCTTCAGCTCCACTGGACTTCTGTCATGTCTGAAAGAATGTGCTTAAGGACTGCTGTAGGGCTTTTGTATATTGCTCTTTTTTTCAGTCTAGATCATAGACCTGGAATATTCTTCTATCAAGTCTTCACTTGTCTGTTTTCTTTAAATCTTTCTGAGCTTGGTTTATTTTCCTTTCCTCAGATTGGTCTTTTCTGACACCCCTCCCAATCTTCTCTTACACTACCCCCCCCCAAAAAAACCCCTAAAAACGGAATGAAGTTTCCTAGCTATATCCTCTCCCAGGATTCTGTACTTTTCCTTCTGAGCAGATCTGTGGAGCAGACCGCTGCAATGTCCCCAGGTTGGTCCTCTGGCTCCAACTGCCTTTCCGTGAGACTAGGATTCTCAAAGAAAGAAGGGCCCTCAGGGACCAGACAGGTTATATAAATGTGTGGGTGGAGACAGTGGCAAACTGGGGAGCACATGGTGGTCACTAACAGTTCTGGCTACTTTTTACTGTAATTTGCTGGATTAAAAAAAATTTTTTTTCCCCAAAACACCAAGAATCCTGATTTTCATGCAAGATCTTTCAATTTCTAACTGTTGGAATTAAAAAATAATTAAAACCCCTGAGCAGAATAGTCAAAATGATCTTGAAGAAGAACAAAGTTGGAAGTCTCACACTCCTGATTTCAGAAGTTATTATGAAGCCACAGTAATCAAAACAGGTGGTACTGGTATAAAGACAGACATAGAGCATAATGGAATAGCATAGAGAAGCCAGAAGTAAACTCTTACATATATGGTCAAATGATTTTCAGTAAAGGTTTCAAGACCGTGCAATGGGGAAAAGACAATTTTTTCAACAGATGGTGTTAGGAAAACTGGTTATCCACATGCAAAAGGATGAAGTTGGAGCCTTACCTTACACCATGTAAAAAGTGATCTCAAAATGGATCAAAGATCCAAATATAAGACCTAAAACTATAAAACAGGGGAAAATCTTTGAATGATTCTGGATATGATACCAAAAGCACAGGCAGCAAAAGTAAAAATAGATAACTTGGACAACATCAAAATAACAATATTTCTGTGCATCAAAGGACATAATCAATGGAGTGAAAAGGCAGTCTATGAAATGGGGAAAATATCTGCAAATAATATATCTGACAATGGATTAATATCTAGACTATAAAAAGAACTCCTACCATGCAACAACAAAATAACTTGATTTAAAAATGGGGGCCCGAGAAAGAAGAAAAAAATGGGCAAATTGACTTGAATAGACATTTCTCCAAAGAAGATATATAAATGACCAACAAACCAAAAAGTTGCTCAACGTTATTAATCATTAGAGAAATACAAATCAAAGCCACAATGAGATAGCACCTCCCACCCATTAGGATGACTGCTATTAAAAAAAACAAAACAAAACAAACCAGAAAATAACAAGTGTTATAAAGGATGTAGAGAATTTGGAACACTGTGTCCAATGTAAAATGATGCAACTGTTATGGAAAACAGTATTTTGTTCCTCAAATCAAAAATAGAATTATCTTACAACACAGCAATCCCACTTTAGGGTGTATATCCAAAAGAATTGAAGGGAGGATCTTGGGGAAATATTTATACAATCATGTTCATAGCAACATTATTCATAATGGCCATAAGATGGGAACAATCCACACACCCAATGATAGACAAATAGATTGTAAACAAAGTGTGGTGTATACATGTAACAGAGTGTTATTTAGCCTTAAAATGGAAATTTTGACACATTACAAGTAATGAAATTTGAGGACATTATGCTAAGTGAAATAAGTCTGTCACAGAAAGACAAATACCGCATGATTTCACTTATGTGCAGTATCTAGAATGGTCACACTCATGGAAACCAAAAGTAAATTGGTGGTTGGCAAGGACTGGAAGAGGGGAAATAGTTGTTTAACATGTAGTTTTGGTTTTGCCAGATTAAAAAAGTTCTGGAGATACATTTAGTACAATGTGAATATAGTTAACACTACTGAGCTGTATACTTAAAAATGGCTTAGATGGTAAGTTTTATGTTATGTGTATTTTGCCACAATTAAGAATTTTTTTTTGAATTTGAAAAAAAAAAAAAAAAAAGCAAAGCCCTAAGCAGGCTCACAAAATTTATCATGATGTGCACTTTGAAGTGTTTGCCTTCTGACAGTGAATCTGTAACTTGATCATGCATCAGGATAACCTGGTGGGCTTGTTAAAACAGATTGCTGGGCCACACCCCTAAAGTTTCTGAATCAGTAAGCCTGGGGTGAAAGCCTGAGAATTTGCATTTCTAACAAGTTCCCTGGTGTTGTGAGGCTACTGCTACTGATCCAAGGATTACACTTTGATGGCCACTACATTAGATAGTGCCACAGACTACAACTCTCTGTTAATTTCTATGAATCAGTTTGTGATACATCTTTGGTTCTGGGGTCTGTGAAAGTTGTGTTTGCCATGTCCTTGTGCCATGTGACCCTGCTTCTCTGGCCAGTAATATGCTATAGATGAAGGGCTAGACCTAATATACTGGGCATGGAAACTGCCCAGTTTTGCACAATATGTGGTATATAATCCAATTAGAATAATCCAATCCCATTTTGAATGTAAGACACACTAAGGCAGGTCAGGTAGAAGCTGAAGCTAAGAGAAGCTTAATTCTGAGGGAACTGGTCGGGTGACAAGAGCCACCTCATTTTACCTGGAGCAGTGTGAATCACATTCCACCACCATGGGGGCTGTGTGGCCAAGATGCTTCTTGTGCTCGCCCACTTCCTGGGGTGACCTTAATATAAACCTGCATCTTCTCTGCTAAAAAAGAGGAAGTCTCTTTTCTGTGTTTCCTGGAAGACTCTCCCATCCTGTTTTGATAGTTTTGGTATCTTTATCATACTATTGACTCTGCTTTTCTATGGAAGGAAACAATCTTGATCAAGAAATGTGACTCCTTAAGCCTTGGTTTTTATTGAGGTTGAGAAAGATTATAAACTATGCCTTCACTCATAAGATAGGAATTTTTCCATCTGCCAAAATGACTTCGAATAATTGCAATACGTGACTCTTAGGGAACATCCTGGAATTGCTATCAAAATCAGTTAACCCGTCTCATCCCAGCATCCTGCTTCTTGTCTCCTCTCTAATTGGCTGTCAGCTAGTTCATTTAGTGAAGCCAGCGTTAAAACAATCAGGTTTCCGCACCGCTAGTTCCTCCAGCCCTTTCTCTCCAGAAAAGGGAGAAAGCCGGTTGCAGTTTTGAAAGGGGGCAGAGAAACAATGTCACGGCAGGTACTGTCTACAGCAGGAAAGATGGCCTTAAGGGTAGTGAGCTTCTGCTAACGAAGGGAGTGTCAAGATACTGCATCAGCTGCCTAGAAACGGCCACAGAGGGAATAGTTGTTTAAAGTCTCCCCGGACTCAAAGACTTGAGAGATGGTGACAGAGAAGAGATTCTCGCATGGATAGAGGCTGGCGGTGGTCGTCCGCAGAGGGATTATTGCTAGGAACCGCACTATGGCCTCCGTCCCAGAGGGGCCAATCGGAGCGGACGCTTCCGGATCTGCGTTTTGGGCAAGACCCTTTCAGCCAATCTTTGTACAGGCACTGGTGACGTCACTCGTTGCTCTTAGGCTTGTCTCGTGACGTCATCCTACAGCGCCGGAAGTGGCGCGTCCCGGAAGAGAAACGTGAGGTTGTCTGTGTCCGCTGTTTCGAGGTAAGGCGGTCGTCGGCCTACCTCCTCTACTGACCCGGTTGAAAATCGTGGGTGTGGGCCCTGGGTCGGGGCCATTACTACCCTTGAATGATGTTCTTTGAATAACGCTTTTATGGCTTCTTTCCCGGCAGGCTTTGCTCCATCCTCGGGCTCTAGGCTTCTCACTTTGCTCAAACTCCCTTGGGCCGTTTTTTCGCGACCCCGTCGTTGGTCGTCGCCCCACCAACCTGTACCCCCGACACCTGTACTGGCTTGGTCACTACACAAGCAGAGAAAAGATTAGAGAGTGGGTACTGTCTAGCCCAAGGAGGCGGCTCGGCTTGTTAGGAAGGACATGGTTGCCTCCAGAAACTCTCCGTGAAAGGAACTTGAGGGGCCTTCACAGCGTCCTCAACAGGTCCAATAGGAGGGCCAGTGGTAGTGGTTCAACAAAGCAGGGGTATAATTTCTACATGGAATCAATGTGGTCCAGGTTTAGAGCCTTTAGAGAATCTAACTTACATTGGGAATCGTTAGAATACTTGAGACAGGACTGTACTTTACGGAGAGACAATACGGATTTGTGCCCTTCCACCTTAGTTGCACAGTCACTGCTGTCGGCCGATCTTTGTATACGTCCTTAGCCCCTGCTTTTATCCTGTCTTCAGTGTTCACCAGTGACAGGAGTGTTGAATGCTTTTGACCAGACACTGAGCTTTACGTACTTCCTCGTTCAGTCTTCATGCTACCTCTGTGTTGTACAGCAAGTCTTAATTTTTTACAGCTGGAGAAATAAAGGCTTAGGTTAAATAATTGGCGTCAAGTCACACAGTGACTAGATGCTGCAACTCAGGCAGTTGCACATAAGAGGCTGGATGTTCTCCACTATGTTATATTGATTTTTTTTTTAAGTGTTCATTAAGCTCTCGAACACCTCACTCTGTTGTCTGCTATTTTATGGAGAAAATTGAGGTCATCGGATATGCTTTCCCTCAAATTTCTGCCCCTGCTTTCCCTTCTTGAAAAGTCATCTCATTTAACACCCATTTTTACCTTTCTTTTACTCTCAGAGGATAAGCTGTCTCTTCTGATCAAAGTGAATCCCATTATCTTTGCTTCTCACCTTTCGTTTATGTTTTCATCTATGAGGCCTTGTTTTTATTTGTCTTTTCTGCCCCTGACTATGTCCTAGTCATATGTGAACATAGGTTTCTGAGATCCCTGGTCACCTGGCTTCTACCCTCCAAAGCTAGAAAGAAGGAAAAGTTCTTAGTGATCCATCTTCCTTTAGCTCTCATCCAGTAAGTCTATTCCCTTTCTTTTTTAAAGAGTGTTCTAAATTCTGACTCCATTTTCTTACCTTTCACTCCTTTCTCCAGTCTAGCTTTCAGACCTATCATTCTCCTGAAATTTTAACCTTAAGGTCACAGTGATTATCAAATCAGATAGATATTTTTCTGTCACTACTGGATCCCTTTGTTGCCTTTTTTTTTTTTTTTAAATGTGTTTTAGTTTTGAGAGAGACAGAGCATGAGCGGAGGAGGGGTGGGGAGAGAGAGGGAGACACAGAATCCGAAGCAAGCTCCAGGCTTTGAGCTGTCCAGCACAGAACTGGACGCAGGGCTCGAACTCACTGTGAGATTATGACCTGACTTATTCAATCAACAGATATTTATTATGATGCAGAGATGAGGAAGACAAAGTGCCTCCCCATTAGGAGCTTTCATTCTAGCTATTTCTCCATATGCTTCTCTCACCAGCCATTTCTCCTGTGGGCTAGTCTTTTTACTTCCTTCCCTAAAATTTTAGGTGCTTCCGAGGCTTGTGACTTTGGCCCACTTCTCTTTTCATTCTGTACACACTGTTTGAGTGAGCACATCAACTAGGTTGGTTTTAACTGCCTTCTACATGCTCCCAAATCAAAGTTGTCAGCTTAAACCTCTTTTCTAATTTTCCCTCTCACTTCTTACCACACTGCTCACTTCTCACCGCACTGCTGGACAGCTCTGCCTACCAGTTCCACAGACAGTTCAAATTCACAGGCCTGAAACTGAACTCAGTGTCTTCCCTGAACTTGCTCTTATCACATCCATCCCTAAGTCCTGAGGATTTTATTCCCTAAGTATTTCTCAAATCTGTGCTCTTTTCTTCATCCCTATTATTGTACTACTTTAGGTACTATTACCTTTCACCTGAAATATGATGGCCTTCTGACTGATTTCCCCAACTCCAGTCCTTGAAAACAAATCTGTGACAAAGCCCTGCTTCATAATCTTTAAAGATCTGTCTGTTCATTCATCTGATCTTTTTTCTCATTCATTTAGCAAATATTTATTGTTTACTGAATTGCAAAATCCAGTGGAAGTTCTAAAGTTTGAACTCACCAGTCACCCAGGGCTCTGCTTATTCTGGACCTGCCTGTGTCTCTAGCCTCTTTTCTGCTTCATGCTTTAGATTGCAGCAACACTGAACTCCTTTTCATGTGCACTATGCTGTTTCTTAATGCATTACCCTTGCTGTTCCCTTTGACTTGAATCTTCTCCATTTCTCTATCCACTTCCTTCTCCCCTAATTAGAATGACCCTTTCACCAGTTAACTTAGTTTATATATAGGATTCATTTAGGTCTGCCTCCTATAGGAAATCTTCCTTGACATCTCCTTTCTCCAAGTCTGTGTTGGGTATTCCAGCCTTTTGCTCCCATAATACTCTGCACAGACCAATCATTATACTTACTACAATTGTTGTAAGTGTTTTTGTGTTTCTCTCCCTCACAAGACTCTGAGCCTTTTGAAGACAGGAATGATATACCTGCATCATATGAGTGAGATACATTATTTCTTTATTCACAGTACTAGAATACCACAAGGCACATAGTAGGCATGCAGTAATTTTGATTGATCAAAAGAGTGAAGACAAAAGGTATATGGTGTAGTGATTAAGAAACCATTCTTTAAAAAAAATTTTTTTTTAATGTTTATTTGTTTTTGAGAGAGAGAGAGAGAGAGACATAGTGTGAGCGAGGGAGGGGCAGAGAGAGAGGGAGACACAGAACCCGAAGCAGGCTCCAGGCGCTGAGCTGTCAGCACAGAGCCTGAAGTGAACTATGAGATCATGACCTGAGCTGAAGTCGGACATTTAACTGAGCCACCCAGGCGCCTCTGCCCCCCCCCCCCCCCCCCCACTTTTTAAGTCTATTTATTTATTTTGAGAGAGAGAGTGCACAGGAGGAGGAGGAGGAGGAGAGAGAGAGAGAGAGAGAGAGAGAGAATCCCAAGCAGGGTCCAGCACAGAGCCTGAATTAAAGTTCAGCACAGAATTTGTGAACTCAAGAACCGTGAGATCATGACCTGAGATGAAAGCAAGAGTCAGATGCTTAACCGACTGAGCCACCACCTAGGCACCCCAAGAATCCATTCTTTAGAATTGATTCAAATCCTAACTCTGGCACATATTAGCTATGTGGCTTGTACATGTTGCCTACTTTTTCTTAAGCCTTAAATTTTTCTTTCTTAGAATGAGAGTTGTGAAAATTAAATGAGATGATATAAGCAAGACATTTAACAAGTGCTTAGCACTTAGTATGCACTTGATAAAGGCATGCTGAACTCCAGGGGATCCAGAAGTATAAGGCCAGGCCTAGCCCAGGGCAGTAATCTTTAAGAGACCCTTCCTCTGAGTTTTTGTATGGATGGGCAGTGATGCAGTCTGTTTACAAGGAGATTATAATCTCATTTGGAGAGTGGAATTACATCCACATTTAATTTTCAGAGAACTGTGAAGGTAAATTAACCACACCCAATAGCAAGATATAGGGGTAGGGAAGAGAAGATAATTCAGAGAAGACCTCTGGGGGGAGGGGGGGCTTGGAAGTTGAGAAGGATTTGGGATTCTGGAGGGGAGGAAAGAGTATGATCGAATGCCTGGAGATCATATTGAGAATGACTTATTTGGGAGACATGATTCAGTATATCATACCTGAGGGATGTATTTGTGTGTAAGAATGAATGTATGTGAGTCTGGGGGAAAGGAAAGGTGGGGCTAGTTCTATGAAAGGAAGTAGGAGGTGACATAAGTGACCTTTGTGGGGTTAGAGTACGAGGGTCTTAACCTCAGGCTTGAGGAATTTGGGACTGATCAGGGTTGGGCAAGTTGGGTTGGATATCATGATAGCCCTCAGCCACATGTAGCTATTTAAATGTAAGTTAAAAAAAAAATCTAAGAAATTTAGGTTTTCTGTCACACTAGCTACATTTTGGATGCTTGATTGTCACATGGTGGCTACATTATTGGACAACATAGGTGTACAACCCTTCCATCATTGTAAAAAATTCTACTGGACATCACTGTTCTACATTCTCAGATTGCTGGGCTTGCATGGCCTATCAGATCACTTGGTTCCTTAAGATATAACTAGATTTTTTTTTCCTGACTAATCCCGACAACTCTGGAATGAAAAGTAGGGAGTTGGAAAATAGAGAATTAGGATTTATCCACATAGATGTGAGGATGGGATTGCCCAAGGAGAGGAGCAAAGGATGGCTTAAGAGGAGCCAGAGCAGAGGAAAGAGAAGGAAGGCCAGAGAACCTGGATAGGATTATTGTCTGGTCATTTACTTGCAAGTATGTACTGTGTTCTTGTATGTCAAGTATTAAGTGCTGGTGATATATTGGTAAGCAAAAAATGGACTTGACTTCTGCTGTTTTAGAGCTTGCACTTTATGGAGTTTCAATGTATGGACTATATTGAGATTCAGGAGCGCCTATCATTATGCATTCCCCATATTCTAAAATGCTTCATTCCTAGAAAATGGATCTGAAGACTAAAATGGGCTAAAAAGTTGGTCAAGGTTAGTTGCATAAGCATTGTGGAGTCACTGCTTTAGCTTCTCAAGAATTTGTAAATAGAAACATCATAACTTGAGAACTTTGACAAGAATGAGTGTGTGTGGAGGGCAGGAGGGGTAGTTTCTATTATCCTGCAACAGCCAGCCATGCTCTCAGCTGCCCATCAGATTCCTTCCTGTCCCTGCTCTCAAACTGTGCTCTCTTCACATTTCTTTTGTTATTACTGTGAGTTGTCAGTCACCACGTGACTACTTTCTCAAAGCCTGATGAAGACATACTTCATTTCTCAGTCCACTTCCTGCTCATTTATCAGTTTCCAGTGAGTGCAAACAGATGTGCCTCTGAATACATAGCATTTAAAAATGGAACGTGCCTATAGCACCATCATCACTTGAGGCTCCGGGTTGAGGATTTTAGGTTTATAACTGACTCTTCATGCCTTGCATCCACCCCTTCACAAAGACCTGCTGAACTTTTGGACCTCACTCTTGTCCACATTATGTTGACTGCCTCCTGACTAATCTCAGAGTCTCGACTTCTCCACTCCAGCCTGCCCACGCCCAGCTGTCGTTTCACTTTGCCATGCAGCTCATTAACCTGGCAGTTGTCTCCTTGATTGTCAGATCTAAACTATTCAGCATAGTGTTCAATACCTTTGCCATTTTTGATGACTCTGGAGCAGCTCCCCTGGGTCAGCCAACAGGGTCTGCTTTCCACCCCTCACCCATGGCTTATTGCTGAAATATGCCTTGTCGCTTGTGCCTTTAAAAATGGAATATACCCTCTCACTTATTTTCCTTATCAGTCTTCTTGGCCTTTTCATTTGGGTGGTTTCCCAAACCTTTCCTGACTGATCCAATTTCTGTGACTTTGCACCTCCTCAGCAATCATTTGTTCGCCCTGCTTTGCATTATCCTTTGCAGATGGTAATGAAACTTTGACTTTCAAAAATCTTGTTTCTTTTCTCTTCCCTTTGGACACAAAGCTTGTGCAGAGCGCCTGATAAGTGCTGCCTTGCCTGTAGGGCACATTTCTCAAAGAGAGGGTATTAGAGGCTTGAGCAATAAGCTTCTGGAGTCGGGGGAGGTATCCCAAAGATCCTAGTCCTGTCCCTATCCATAGTTCCCTGCTCTACCTCTCTGGGTGATCTCATGCTCTCTTTGCCTCACCTTCTCTGACATGTCGATGCCTCTCAAATACATACAGTCAGTCCATTCCTTCCCTGAGCTTTCTACCCATATATCCTACCTTGACCTGTGGATCTTTCACAGACAATGTAATCTAATTGTGTTTCAGTCTGAAAGCATCCCTTCTTCGTCTGCCATTTAACTTCAAATTATGTCTTCTTGTGTATTGCTTATTTTAGTCAATGGCTATTTCCAAATTCAAAGTCTTGGTTTGTGTCTCCCTCTACTCCTTTGTCATTCCCAAATACACCCAGTAGTTAAATCTACCTTCACAGTTTCTTCTGGATCTTCTTCCTCTCCATTGTCTTTGTTCAGGCCTTGTCTCTTTCCCAAATTTCTTGGCTCTTTCCCTTCTACTGATACTTTCCATGGCCATACAGGTTGTTTTCAAAAGAAAACTGGCACCTTCTCTATTGTGCAGGTTGTGTATAGCACACAGGTGCCACATTCACTCTTTAGATGTTGTAGGTTTGTGTATTTATTATGACCATCTTCTGGTAGATGGCAGTAAAATGTATTGTTCTAATATTGGTATGTTATGATGATTAAAGAAAGGAAAAAAAATTTTTTAAATGTTTTATTTATTTTTGAGAGGGGGCAGAGAGAGAGGGCAGAGGGGCTCCAAAGCAGGCTCTCTGGGAGTGTGTGCTGATAGTGGAGATCCAGATGTAGGGCTCGAACTTATGAACCCACAGGGGCTCAGGCCAAAGTCAGATGCTTAGCTGACGGAGCCACCCAGGTACCCCAAGGAAAGGAAACCTTCTAATCTGCATAAAGATGCCTCTGGACTGAAGAACATCCTCTGTTCTGATGTCCTTAATTCTCTGCCAGGCAAACTCCTTCTCATGCCTTGAAAACTCAGCATAAATATCCCTTCCTCGTTAAGCCATTTTTGATACTCTCCACAAGAGTGGTTGTTTCTTTCCCTGGGCAAATGCCATATTTGGTTACTCCCTTATAATGCTTATCACATCATATTGTAATAATTGACATATGAGTCTATCTACCCCACTATACTCCAGGCCTCTCAAGGATAGAGACAATGTTTGATTATTCTTTTATCCTCACCATGTAGCCTAATGGCCAGCACATAGAGTATATCAGTAAACATAAATATTTGATTGCTTCGCATGATTTAGGCACAGAGGTAAGTACATACATTATCTTATTTAATTCTCACGACAGCCTCATGAGTCCTGTCATTATCACGTTTTACAAGTGAGAAAATTGAGACCTAGGTGAAGTCACTGGCCTCAAGATAAATAGCTGGTAGCTGGCATGTGTGGTGGTGCTGGGGTGTGCTAATTTTTCCAGTGATTCTCTTCTGTTTTGTTTCTCAGAGTAATGATGCGGGTGTGCTGGTTGGTGAGACAGGATAGCCGGCACCAGCGAATCAGACTTCCACATTTGGAGGCAGTGGTGGTTGGGCGTGGCCCAGAGACCAAGATCATTGACAAGAAATGTTCTCGACAGCAAGGTAATTGGTCATAGCAATGTGCAGTACTGTGTTTTGTTCCTTAGGATAATGATAACCAAGGATGCACATTTCCTGGAAGCTATTGATAGAAACCTTTTGTCTGCCATAAACAAAACTCAGGAACTGAGCTCTCTTAGCCAACATCAGGGCCCCATTCACCCCTGATTCCACCCTCTGGAAGCGGTTAATATTCAGTGTTGGGAGCAGGCAGGTTCCATCCTGTTAGTATGGTGGAACTGAATCCCGCACCCTACTTTGCCCGGGGAGATTCCTCATTGGGCAGTGAGACAGTTGCATTCTGGGATCTCCAGCCTGAAACCATGTCTGAGAAGTGATGGGATACTTCCATCCTTTATATAATGCCTCACACGGAGGGTGTCATCTTTATAAGACTATGGCATCCAGCTCTTGAGATGTCTTTCCTGGGATTTAATGAAATGAAGGTCCTTAGGAAAAAGCTGTACCGTGTACTTATTTGTTCCATGTAAACTCTTGATCTGCTCACTGCAACCAGGCCTTCCGCCTGCAGTGTGTTCCTGAGAACAGGGTTTCTCAGTGCTTGGAGTCTGCAATAGTGATTTTGGTTTTTCCCGCAAGAGTTAAATCTAAGTGGGGGGTGGGGGGAAAGCCATGCTTGAGCTGGCTGGGTCCAAGACAGAAGGAGACACTGCTTCTCACTCTCTGTCCCCTTCTCACAACAGCAACTGGAGCGATGTATATGTTAGCCTGTCTACTGCCTGTCCTCCTTGAAGAGCAGCTGTGGTGTCTCTGCACCTTGTCTCACTCACAAGTGTTTGATGTTACTTCTTCCCACATGTGCTCAGACTGTTCTGTTCCTGCAGTCCTCTTTCTAGAATATTCTCTGCACTCTGCCTACCCAAGGCCAGCTGAACTTCTGTTTTCCAATAATGTATCTTTTGCCTTTCTTTATTGAAGGCATCTGATAGTTTTATTAAATAATGGAAGCCGGATTTAACAATGAGCCAAGAGCTTATGAAATAACTGGGTCCCTTCCCTGACTGCAGAGTCTGTGATCCTGAGTGGGCCAAGGACTCTGGAATAGGGATTGTGGGGATTCTGTAAACCTGCCTCATAGGAATGTTAGCAGTAGCTAAAGGAGTATGTATGCTGTTGGAAATTTTATGGAAGGATTTGGAGCCCAGCCACTTCCATAATAGGCGATTTTGCTCATGGGCCTTTGAGGTAACCCCTGTCAAGTTGCCTCCTGGAATGAGGCTTCATTGTCCTGTAGGAAGAACAGGAGCATGTGCTTGCTTCTTGGTGGCCTTTAGATTGAACTTTTTTCAATCTCTTTCAGTACAGTTGAAAGCAGAGTGTAACAAAGGATATGTCAAGGTAAAGCAGGTATGTGTGTTTCTAATTTGGATTTCCATTTTATACTTGATGATTTTCTTATGCTGTCTGTACCAACCTGTGAAAGCTTCTCTGTCATGTGTGGAAGTGATGGGGTAATAGAAGTGAACATTAAGCATGGTATCTGGCACACAGTAAGTGGTTAGCATAGCAGTGGCTATGGTATTATTGCTAGCATTGTAATTATTTTCTGATTTTTCTATAGGTAGGGGTCAATCCCACCAGCATTGATTCAGTCATAATTGGGAAGGACCAAGAGGTGAAGCTGCAGCCTGGCCAGGTTCTCCACATGGTGAATGAACTTTATCCATATATTGTAGAGTTTGAGGAAGAGGCAGAGAGCCCTGGCCTGGAAACACACAGGAAGAGAAAGAGGTCAGGCAACAATGATTCTATAGAAAGGGGTGCTGCCCAGGAAGCTGACTCCCATACAGGACTGGAACCTGGGAGTGACCCTGGCCAATGCTCTGTGCCCTCAAAGAAGGAGAAAGATGCATCTACCAAAAAGGTGAGGGTGGTGTGCCTGATAGATGACATGGAGATTAAATGAGATATAATGACTGCTTGATTGTTTTGTACACTGTAAAGCTCAAATACTCGTAAGGGGTTATTAACCATGACAAGGGTTATTAATCATGATGAAAGAGTCACTTGTTTGTGTCACCAATCACTTGGGTGAATGTCCCTTTATGTACATTTTTCTTGAAGTCCTGAGGTAAGCCACCCGAAGGTAGGGAGGTAATGGCGGTGTACTGCTAAAGTGGGTCAGTCATATGTGTATCTGCAGAGGGTTAGCATTGGAACGCTGTTCATAGATCATCTGATTCACATCCTGTTGTCAAAGTGGAAATGTAGTTAAGCTGTAGATGGAGTGCGAGAGGGCAAAGAAGATGCAGTTCACACTCTGGCATTTCCAGCTTTCATCTAGACACACAGCTCTCACTACTGTATAGGAAGAAAATGGAAATGGTTTATGGTTATAAAGGGAAAAGATTGAGTAAAGGGGATATAGTTGAGTTCTTTTTTTTTTTGAATGTTTTTTTTCGAGAGAGAGAGTGAGAGTGAGCAGGCGCGGGCAGGGGAGGGGCAGAGAGAGGACAGAGGATCCAAAATGGGCTCTGTGCTGATAGCAGAGAGCCTGATGTGGGGCTTGAATTCACGAACCGTGAGATTATGACCTGAGCTGAAGTCGGACACTTGACCGACTGAGCTACCTAGGTGCCCCAGATATAGTTTAAATCTTAAAAATGAATTTTATTACTTGGGATGCCTGAGTGGCTCAGTCAGTTAAGTGTCTGACTTTGGCTCAGGTCATGATCTCACAGTTCGTGGGTTCAAGCCCCACATCGGGCTCTGTGCTGACAGCTCAGAGCCTGGAGCCTGTTTTGGTTCTGTGTCTCCCTCTCTCTCTGCCCCTCCCCCACTCGTGCTCTGTCTCAAAAAGAAATAAACATTAAATAAATAAATTCAGTAACCCTTTGAGAGAGGGTTAAAAAAAATGAATCATTACTAAGTTTGGTTGCACTTTGCTGACACATACAATATTAACTAATGCCAAATACAGCTACTGACACTTGCAATTTACATTGCCCCTTTTTGTTTCAGGAATCATTGGGCCACTGGAGTCAAGGCTTAAAAATTTCTATGCAGGATCCCAAAATGCAGGTCAGAATAAAATTTTGGCATTGAAATGTATTACATGTCTTTTAAGTGACTACTCCACAGAGTGAGGATAAATGAAAGCAAAGGAGATCAGTCCTTCTGAATGAGGTTTGTTTTATTGGTCTACTTGGTGAGAACAAGTGGCTTTTCCCATTGTCAGTAAGTTAGCAACTGGAATTCTTTGGAGAGAAGCTAAGTTCTTCAAATGAAGATCTCCTCTTCCTTATTCCTCCTAAACTTCTGGGTGCTATTAAGGGAAGTTGAGTTAACCTTTGTGGGTTTTTTTTCACGGGAGTGTCAGGTAATGTATTGTGACTGCAGTTGCTGGGCTGCCCCGGGATTAATAGTCAGGTGTCATCCTGGGAGGAGTCTGTGAGTTCTTAAGTTACATTCTGGGGTGACAAGGGGCCAGATCTGATAGGGCTTCTTGGAACACATGATTGTGTCACATGGTCTGCTGTGTTAGAGTGGAGAAGGGTGCCTTTGAATTTATGTCTGCAGGGATTTTACATCCAATCCTTAGGAACTATTTTGTACTGTGAATTTCCTGCGTATTCTCTGTAGTGTAGTGCTTGAAAACACAGGCTCTGGAGTCAACTAGATCTGGTTTGAAATCCTAGGCTTCCCACTTAGTAATGATGTGACTTTGTGCAAGACACTCATCTGAGTCTCTGCTGTCATCTGACAAAATTGGGATACTGACACCTTTTGCGTAAGATTGTGCTGGGAATGAAGTGAGTTAGTGAATATGACAGTACCTGACACACAGAACATGTGTGGTAAATATCTGTTTCCTTCTCTTGTGCCCCTATCCTAGGTTTACAAAGATGAGCAGGTAGTGGTGATTAAGGATAAATACCCCAAGGCTCGTCACCACTGGCTGGTCTTACCATGGGCTTCCATTTCCAGTCTGAAGGCTGTGACCAGGGAACATCTTGAGCTCCTTAAACACATGCACACTGTGGGGGAAAAGATGATTACAGATTTTGCTGGGTCCAGCAAACTCCGCTTCCGATTGGGTTACCATGCCATTCCCAGCATGAGGTAAGTGTTGTGGGTAGTGCTAGTGTATTCTGGTTCTAAGTGGACAGATGGATTCAGCTTGGGTGTGCTGATAGTCTCAAGGCCAAGGGGAGTAGGGTGGGATGTTTCCAAGGAAAGTGGGCTGAAACTTCCACCCTTCTCCCTGATTTGCCTGTGACTTTTATTAGATTTTTCAGAAGCATCTATAACTCCTTAGTGATTAAGGACCATTGCTCTGGAGGAGACAAACATCACTGACTTTTGTCATGATAGCTCAGTAGATCTAAGATTTAAAATAAAATGAGAGAAAAATGCAGAACCTGTTCAAAGAACTCAACCAAGGCAGATCTCCATAGTTGTTGTTGTTGTCGTCGTCCTTTTTTTTTTTTAAATATTTATTTTTGAGAGAGAGACTGAGTGTGAGCAGGGAGGGGCAGAGAGAGAGGGAGATACAGAATCTGAAGTAGGCTCCAGGCTCTGAGCTGTAAGCACAGAGCCCAACATGGAGCTCAAACTCATGAACTCAAAGATCGTGATCTGAGTTGAAGTCGGACTTAACCAACCTGAGCCACCCAGGCACCCCTCCAGTTCTTCTGAGCTAAGCAACAAGATAAGCAGATTAATTGGATTTCGCAGTTTTTATCTTGTATTTGTTCATTTGTTTTTTCGTGATAAAATACACGTAACAAAGTTTACCACTTTAACCATTTTTTTAAAAAAACTTTATTTAAATCCAAGTTAGCACAGTGTAATAATGACTTCAGGAGTAGGATTTTAACCATTTTTAAGTGTACAGTTTATTGGCATTAAGTATATTTACATTGTTGTGCAGTCATCACCATCATTTTTCTAGGACCTTTTTCATCTTCCCAAACTACCTCCCATTCCCCTCTACAGTCCCTGGTAGTTACCATTCTGCTTTCTGTTTCTAATAATTTGACTGCTCTAGGTGACTCATGGAAGTGGAATCCTACAGAAACTCTTTTTGTGATTAGCTTATTTCACTTAGAATAATGTCTTCAAAGTTCATGTATGTGGTAGCGTGTGTTAGAATTTGTTTTGGTTATTTTTTTTTTTAACTACCTAACAACATTCTTCACGTTTTATTTAGATAATTATGACTTAAATTATGGGTGACTTTAACCAAATGAAATTTTTGTGCCATATTTTTTCCCCATCAGTACTCTTCCTTTTTTTTTTTTTTTTTTTTTAAAGTTTATTCATTTATTTTGAGAGAGGGTGAGAGAGCACATGAGCGAAGGAGGGGTAGAGAGAGATAGACAGAGAGAGAGAATCCTAAGCAGCCCAAGCAGGCTCTGCACTGCCAGGACATGAACCACAATATCATGGCCTGAGTCAAAACCAAGAGTTAGACACTCAACCAACTGAGCCACCCAGGCGTCCCAGTACTCTTTCTTTAAAGTTGAGGCTTAGCTTACATACAACAAACTGCATCAGATTTATAGTTTGGTCAGTTTTGACAAACATATACGTCCTGTAACTATCACTCTGATTAAGATACAGAACATTTCTGTCATATCCCAGAAAGTTCCCTTGTGCTCCTTTCCAGTTAGTCCTTTCCTCAACCCTCGTGTTGTTCTGATTTCTTTCCACATAGGTTAGTTTTGCTTGTTCTAGAACTTCATATAAATGGAATCATATGATGTGTCTGACCTTTTTTAGTCAGCATTGTGATTTTGAGATTCATGTATATTGTCTTGTATATCATGGACATACTTCATGTTTTGCTCTTGGGTAAATACCTACAAGTGAAGTTGCTAGGTCTAAGGGTAGATGTATGTTGTACTCATTTAAAAAAATGCAGTTGACCCTTGAGGCGCCTGGGTGGCTCAGTCGGTTAAGTGTCCGACTTTGCCTCAGGTCATGATCTTGCGGTCGGTGAGTTTGAGCCCCGTGACAGGCTCTGTGCTGAGCCTGGAGCCTGCTTCAGGTTCTGTGTCTCCCTCTCCCTCTCTGCTCCTCCCCCGCTTATACTCTGTCTCTCTCTCTCTCTCTCTCTCTCTCTCTCTCTCAAAAATAAATAAACATTAAAAAAATGTTTTTAAAAATGCGGTTGACCCTTGAACAACACAGATTCGAATTGTGCAGGTCTACCTATATGCAGATTTTTTTTTTAGTATAGTAAAATACTATAAAAGTATTTCTTTTTGTTGTGAGTTTCTTAATAGTTTCTTTTCTCTGGCTTGCTTTAGTGTAAGACTTCAGTATATAATACAACATACAAAATAATGTGTTAATGGACTGTTTATGTTATTGGTGAGGCTTCTGGTCAACAGTAGGATATTAGTAGTTAAGTTTTTGGGAAGCCAAATGTTACACTTTTGGATTTTTGATAGTGTGGGGGGTCAGTTCAAGGATCAACTGTATATGTTTAATAAGGTTTATTGTTAGAACCTTACTAAAAAATTTAGGACAAAAGTCACCCATAATCATAATTCTGTTTCTCCAGTGCTGTGCAGCCTGTGGCTAACAGAGCCCTTGACTGTAGAGCACTTTTCACATAGTAATCATGGTGTCCATACCTTCGTCATATAACAAATGCTGTTGCGCTAAGAATGCTAAAAAAAGCTATGGCAGGTGTGGGTGGGAAGCAAAATGAGCAGTAAGTAAAGTTGCTGCTTATATATCCTTTTAAGATCACTATAATTTTGAATAAACACTGTGGAAAGGAAAAGGTAACAAATTTTTTTATTGTAAAAAATTTAGAAAATATAAAAAATAAAGTATGAAGCAGAACAAAGATCTTCCATAACATCACCACTAATTAAGCCCTAGACCTTACTTGAATTTCCCTTGTTTTTTTTTCAACATTTATTTATTTTTGGGACAGAGAGAGACAGAGCATGAACGGGGGAGGGGCAGAGAGAGAGGGAGACACAGAATCGGAAACAGGCTCCAGGCTCTGAGCCATCAGCCCAGAGCCTGACGCGGGGCTCGAACTCCCGGACCGCGAGATCGTGACCTGGCTGAAGTCGGACGCTTAACCGACTGCGCCACCCAGGCGCCCCTCCCTTGTTTTTTTTTTATGTTTTTCTGCTCCAGGATGCAGTCCAGGATCCTGTGTTGCATTTATTTATTTATTGTCTTTCCTTAGTTTCGCCTAACCTGTGACACTTCCTCCTCCTTTCCTGGTTTTCATGACCCTGACACTTTTGATGAATACTGGTTGGTTTTATAGCATGTCTCTCATTTTGGGCTTGTCTGATACTTTTTCATGTTTAGGTTGAGGTTATACTTTTTTTCTTTTTTTTTTTTTTCTCCTCCTTTCAAAATACCAGAGATGATGTTGGGTCCCTCTAAGTGTATCATATCAAGGAGTGCATAATGCTGAGATGGCTTTTTACTCATGATATTAACCTTGATCACTTTGTTATGGTGATGTCTGACAGGGTTCTCTCTTGAGTTACTGTTTTCCCTTTGTAATTGATGAATATCCTGAATAGTTTGGAAGTGTGCTGCTATCCTGTTTGTCCTCAAACTTTTGCCCAGTGGTTTTAGCATTTATTGGTAGGTCCTGCCTGCAACAGTTATTACTGTGGTGTTTATCTTGCTGATTCAGCTTATCATGTCGGGGTCACCAGTTGTGGGTTTGGCTTTTGGCTTTGTCCAGCAAAGCTGAGGACAGCAGAAAGGATTACTTAAGACTCCAAAAGTCAAGAGACGTGAAAGGGAGGCTAAGGGAAGGCACCCCAAGCTGCTCTCAAGCTCCCGTATTTATTAGACATACATTATAGGGGAATCACTGTGCAATATGAAAATTGGCACGTAGGTGCCAGTAAGGATGTCTAGAAAAGCGTGCAAAAAAACAAGGTATTCCCCAGACTGCAAAAGAGCAGATGCCGGAAAGCAGGGTGGTGAACAAGATAAGATATTCCATAGATAACATGGTCTAAGGAATTCATAAGCACATGCAACCCTAAATACACGTTAACTAGATACTGGTCAGCTGTTTTCAGCAGAGCCAGAAAGCAGTGTAATACATTCCCTATAATCTCCTTAACCAGGACAGAGCTATTTGATTTCCCACATTACCTAATGGTGCTTTTATGTTTCCGTCATTCTCTTTAATTTATTTATTAGAATTCTTCTGTGTGGAAGAGCTGTCCTTTCTCCCCCATTATGTCTATTCAGTTATTTATCAGTAAGGACTCATGGGTGTTTATTTTATTCTATAGGTTTTAATTTGTCATTCATTTTATTTCTCAAATTGTTCTGGCTTTGGTCCTTGGAAGCTCCTTTACATTGGGTCCTGTATCATTTTGATATGGCCCTAACATTTTTTGAGCACTTCTTTATTTTCTGGAGCAAGATGTTCCAGGTTCATCTTATATTTTTTTCTGTTCTAGCCCTGGAAGGAACCTTTTATTTTATTTAGTTCTTTTATTGGATAATGATATTTATAAACCAAGACGTGCATACTAAGTTTCTATATTGAGAGAAGTGGTTGATTCCAGAGTGTCTTTGCTCCTAGGTCCTCTAAGCAGATAGAGCCTGGAAATACATGCATGAATCCTAACCCACACAGACATTCTCTTTCTTTCTTTCTTTCTTTCTTTCTTTCTTTCTTTCTTTCTTTCTTTCTTTCTTCTTTCTCTACTTGTGTATGTGTATGGAAAAGCAAAAATTTATACTAATACCTCTCGCTCTAGTTCAACTCTGCAAGGTTCATTCTTGTCTCCCCCTTTCTTTTGTTGTAATGTCTTTGTCCAACAGTGAAAAATCTGGCTCTCATTAGATATCATAAATTCGCTTACCTGTTCGATCTTAGTGTACACATAAAATAGTTACAGAATTGCTAACCCATACCCCTGTGAGAAACACATTTACTCATTAGGGCACAGTATTTGTATACAGCTTTTTTTTATCTTTACGGTATCCAAACTACTGTTGTTCAAAGTTCACTTGGCAAGTTATTTTTTTCCTGACCCCCTTCAGTCTGGTTCCCTTATTTGTTTGTAATACTGTTAGGTTTGTTACTGCCTATATTCCATTTTGAATTCCTGCATGTATTGGTTGGTTTTGATTATTTATTGCGGGGATAGGAATATTACTGATTCTAAGAGTCAAAGCTATACAAAAAGGCATCTTACTTGGTTTAATAAGTCCAAAAGAGAACTCTTGATTTTCTTCCTCAAACCTGCTTTTCTTTTAAGCTTTCCCATCTCTGTCAGTGGCACCTCCCCCAAACCATATCCAATCCTTCCACATTAGGGAGTCCTACTGGTTCGAGTGCAAAATGTATTCCTAATACTGCAGCTCTAATCTAAGGTGTGTTTATTTCTAGCTTCGACTTCTGCAGTAGCTTGCTAACTTGTCTCTGTATCCATCGTTATCCTCTTTATAGTTCCTTCTCTGCAGACCAGCCAGAGTGATCTTTTAAAAGTGCAAATCAGAGACCATGTAAGCAGAATACAGTAAAGACCCCTTGTCAACCTATAAGACTCTTTATGTTCTGGCCCCTACCTCCTTGGCTCCAGCCATTCCAGATGTATTTATCACCTTTCTGTTCCTCAGTTGCACAAAGTTCTTTCTCATCTCAGGGCCTCTGCACTTGGCCTCCCCACTCCCTGAAACACTCTTCCCCCAGATCTTTGCTTGCCTAATTGCTTTCTCAGACCAAATCACTGCCTGGGAGGGGCCTTCCCTGAACACTCTTGGCTAGATGAAGAGGTAACCTCTACTCCCTGAGCACTTTGTGTCCCATTTCCCTGGCTTATTTTTTTCTTAGTGTTAATGGTTTGAATTTTCCTTGTTTATGTGTTTACTTATTTTTTATTTGTCTTCATTATTAGAATATAATTTCTGTAAGGACAGAGGCCTTTCTCATTTTGTTCACTGATAAATTCCCAGTGCTAGAATAATCCTTGGCCCTTTAACAAGCATTACATATTCTTCAGTGAATGGGTGAATGAATTGGATTAAATGGAAACACTAGCAATATTTCATATACCTGTACTTTTACTGTTTGTCATTTTGATTAAGCCATAGTTTTTAATGGATTTAATGGTCTTTTTTTATCCCCCCTCTCACCTAGCCATGTACATCTTCATGTGATCAGCCAGGATTTTGATTCTCCTTGCCTCAAAAACAAAAAACATTGGAATTCTTTCAATACAGAATACTTCATAGAATCGCAAGGTAAACAGTGTTGTTTAGTTTTCACGTTTGTTTCATTTTCTCACCTGTTCTTATATTTGCTTTAGTTGTTTTCCTAGATAATAACCTGGCCTCAAAAGCCCATGTACAACTTTGTGTTCCCTATAAAGATTCACCCTTGGGGCGCCTGGGTGGCGCAGTCGGTTAAGCGTCCGACTTCAGCCAGGTCACGATCTCGCGGTCCGGGAGTTCGAGCCCCGCGTCGGGCTCTGGGCTGATGGCTCAGAGCCTGGAGCCTGTTTCCGATTCTGTGTCTCCCTCTCTCTCTGCCCCTCCCCTGTTCATGCTCTGTCTCTCTCTGTCCCTATAAAGATTCACCCATTAAAATAAATTGGATTATTTGGGTTCAGTAGGATTGCCACTTTGCTGTGAGCAGCCTTCTTGGTGGGGTTAGAGGGTAGAGATCTAGAAAGCTGTTATGTCAGAGTCAGAAAGGTGTTTTGTTCTAACAACAGGGGCCTTAAAGGTTGTACTGAGAATTATTGGAGTTCATAGACATGAAAGCTCTTAACAGTTGTCTCTTCTGCCATCAGCTGGGTAGGGGCTTGGGGGCTGCCTCATGTGAGGAGTGGTTGATTAACAGGGGAAGGCTGTGTATATATAGAAGGAAGCATTTCCCAGGGTATGTACTGTGGAACTTCAGTATGCTGGGATGTTAATGATGGCAGCTACCACTGACCAAGGGCTAACCAAGGGTAAAGCACTCTGATATAAGCTTTTGATGTAATAATATGGATTGCTTACAGTGTGTCCTGAAGGAATGTAATTACCTCAAAAACAGATTGCTCAGATTTAGAATCTGATTCCCAGCAGTGAGTTTAACCTCAAGTTTACTAGCTTTAGGATACCTGGCATATTTTTATGTGGAGTCAGAGTTTCTTTTCCGGGGGGTATCTTGTATTGGATTTCTAGAGTAGCTGGGCTCTGAACTTTTTTCCTTTGCCTGCAGCTGTGATAGAGATGGTACAGACCGCTGGCAGAGTGAGTGTCCGAGATGGGATGCCTGAGCTCTTGAAGCTGCCCCTCCGTTGTCACGAGTGCCAGCAGCTGCTGCCTTCCATTCCTCAGCTGAAAGAGCATCTCAGGAGACACTGGCCAAAGTGATTCTGTGGAGCCTGAACTTTTGCAGCAGGTGTGGCTGATTGTTTAGAGCAAATTTCTGGCACCTGTTCTGGATTGCTTGTGAACTTTTATTTCTTGAATTAAAACATGCAGCTTCCCCCGCCCAAACAAAGCTTCTTCTGTTCCTGAGTGGCTCCAATATGGGATGACCTGAAATAGTTCAAGAATTAGGAATTTGGGGTTGTTTTGGATGTGTTCTCTGGTGATGGTGGCTGGGACAGGCCTGAGCCCCGATCTCCAGGATCCATGTCAGGTCTGACTCACGGGGAGCAAAGCCATGTTCACACTGACCTAATGCAAGATATGGAATCAGAGAGCAGGCTATATATTTCTGTTCTGTACATTTAATCCTTCCTCCCCAGAGGCACGTGGTACCCTTCATTAGAGCAGCTCGAGAGGTCTGGTATTTAGCTTAAAGGCACTAATTGGTCTTGTTCTCTGATCTTAATCTGTTCTGTAATATTCTTTCTCTTTCCTTTCTTTTTTAATTTAATTTAATTTACTTATTTATTTACTTATTTATTTGGTTTTAAATCCTCAGGGTTTTTTTTTTTTTTTTTTTAAATTTTCATCCAAATTAGTTAGCATATAGTGCAACAATGATTTCAGGAGTAGTGCCCCTTAGTGCCCCTTACACTTTTAGCTCATCCTCCCTCCCACAACCCCTCCAGTAACCCTCTGTTTGTTCTCCATATTTAAGAGTCTCTTATGTTTTGTCCCCCTCCCTGTTTTTATGTTATTTTTGCTTTCTTTCCCTTATGTTCATCTGTGTCTTAAGGTCCTCATATGAGTGAAGTCCTATGATATTTGTCTTTCTCTGACTCTTTCCTTTCTTCATGGAGAAACTAGTTTCTTCTGTTCCTTTCATTCCTTTCTATCCAAAACCATCCATGCTTCCTTCTTAGGAAGTGTCTCACCAGTACTTATTTACTCTGAGCAAACAGGCTTGGTGAGGGGGTGGAGAGATGGGTTTTTTCCCCTAATATCAGGGGTTCCTGGCTGATGAGGAAATACTCGGCCAAGTGTTTGTTCATCAGGGTTCAGCTGTCAAGCCTTCTTGCTGGCCTGCTTGGATCTTTTGTCTGAAAATAAAGTTATTTGTTTAGGTCAGCTCTCTTAGGTAGTTGAAAATTATTGGGAGTTCAGGTAATAGTCACAAACTCAGTTCTGATGCATTGTTAACTGAAAAGTTGCATAGAACCCCATAGCTTCATTTTTTACTCAGAACAAATTTGGATGTCACTGTTGGAGCAAATCTGTTTTTGGATAATGTCAGAACTAAAGGTAAAAGGAAATCTAAAATGTTGCTTTTGATTGCATTGGTGATCCATTTGAGGATGTGGCTCTTTTTGCTCTTGAGTTTGTTAAAAAAAATAAAAGAATACCCTTAATAATAACTTCTCTCTGGAGAAAACCAATTTGTGGAGACCGTATCTGACCTCAATCTTTCATAAACAAACAGAATGCTACAGTGGTTTTTTGGTTGAGCATGGGTATAGTCATATAGTCCTAAATAGTAGTAATTAATGATTATAGCAGCTAACATTTGTTCAACTCCTGTGCATCTAGGCATTATTCTAATACTTTTTTCAGATTATCCCATTTCTCACTGTATGTAATTCTGTGGGGTAGGTATTCTTGTTATGACCCTTTAAAGGGGAAGAATTTAATAATTTGTAAAGGACCCTGGGCTTCAAAGTTGGTCTTGGTTCTGGGGCATCAAACTCATTTTCCCTATTAGTTGAAGAATATAAATGTATTACTAACCAGTAGGGGCCATAGACTCATAGGGGCATTGGGCCTGTGCTGACCAAAAGCTCTTCGTGGCATTTTATCATTGATTTCTCTGAGGACAGTCAGTTCCTCTAAAGCCCCTTTTCCACATCTGATGCCTTAAAGCCCCTAGAAACTGTTTCTAAAGGTATACTCCATGGATACCTGAGATCAGAATTGCTAGTTTCCTTCTACAACATGTAAACACTTGGGCTTTATCTCAAAACCACTGAATCACAATCCTTTGGGCCTAGGAATCTGTATTATAAAACATTCAGGATGACCGTTTTCATACTAAAGTCTGAGAACCACAATATAAATGAACTCTGGGCTTCAAAGCACTTTGCATTTCTGAAAGTTCCAGATTAGACTGTCCCTGCCAGGATACACACACAGTTTCCTGGTTGGTTTTCTGGGCTAGTTGCAGGCCTTCCTTCCCTCTGCATGGTCAATTTTATTTCAGGATCCAGGGAGACTTTGGGCATTAGATAAGGGAGAATGACTACTTATAGGGACCAGCCCTTTGTTTCTGCAGGATTTGGGGGAGGCCCCCTGGCCCCATGTTTTGTTTTTGTTTTTGTTTTTGTTTTAATTTTTAAAATTTATTTAGAGAGAGAGCAGGGCAGGTATAGAGGGAGAGGGAGAGAGAAAGAATCCCAAGCAGGCTCTGCACTGACAGTGTGGAGCTCGATTTGAGGCTCAAACTCATGAACCTGAGTTCATGACCTGAACTGAAATCAAGCCACTCAGGCGCCCCTGGCTCCAAGCTTTTTGGGACCAGGCCTGGTGCTGACGACTTCCTTTTCTTTTTTCTTTTTTAAAATATTTATTTATTTTGAGAGAGAGAGGGAAAGATCATGTGCTCACATGAGGGGAGAAGGGCAGAGAGAGAAGGAGAGAGAGAATCCCATGCATGAGATCATGAGACCCAATCATGAGATCATGACCTGACCCAAAATCAAAGTTGGGTGCTTAACCAACTGAGCCACCTATGCACCCCAACTGTTTCTTTTCAATGGCTCCCATCCCTTCCTGCTCAGACATCAGTCACAGAGGCTTGGTCTGGGACCTGTGATGAACTCAGCTAACCTTAGGCTCAGAGCCTATATATTTTTCGTCTTCTGGGTCTGTCTGAGATATCCAGGTACAAATGGTCCTTTCCAGGACCGGACCATACTTGAGATGGTCACTAAGAGTCCTTGCAGGTTCAGGGATGCTTCCTGGAGTCTGGCATCTGGTAATCAGTCACATACACTGGATATGGCTGGATGTCAGAGATTCAGCATTGATCTCTGTCAGAATTGGCCTAACTGCCTGTCTCTGTCCCAGTAGCTACAACTTGGAGATCTCCACAGAGCTCTGAAGATTCTTCCATAGACTAGATTTAAAAAAAACAAAAAAAATGATGAAGGCCATGAAGCTCACTCCCCAGAATAATGTATACACATTTTATGTACCCTTAAAGTGCTTCCATGGACTCCCTAAGGGGTCTGTGAACCCCAACTTAACTTCTGCTCTGAAGGAAAAAGTCACCACTTTGCATGGGAGCTTAGGAGGTGTCTGGGATCCCCTCCTATGGAGGACTAGGGGGAGAGACCTTATCTCCAGGATATCCCTGAGATGCTCTCCTTTGGTCTCATTGCTCCTTCCTCAGCCCTTTGGTGCATGCACATCCTGGGGTCTTCTGACTAGAGATGGAATTCAGGCCCAGGAGCTGCTTGCTCTAGTTTAGCCACCACATTCAGGCAGGAATCTTGGGAAATGGAGAAATCTTCAGCAGGTCTGAGGGGTTCAGGAACCCTGACTGGCCGACTTATCATGAGCTATCTAAAAGGCAGTGAATCTACATTACTAAAACCAGTCATCTGCAAAAATAGATCAGCTATATCATGAATGTATCCCAGGATAGTGGGAATGGCAGTATCTCATGGGTACAGTATGTTAACAGTACAAACTGTGCTGGATTCAGTAAGTAATCTCTGACTAAGGCAGAGATTTTGATGAGGCCTCAGCCAATGTACTTGGGAATTGCAGAACATTTAACTGAACTTCAGATAAGGTGCCCAGTGAACTTTTTAAAAATAGGTATTGCCAAAACAGTTAATTTTCTACCTAATCAACAATGTTATATAGTTTAGCATGTTGATATTAAAATCACAATGAGAATATTTGGTAAGAAACTGCAACCAAGGAGAGACTATATCACAGTGTATGTGATATATGATGATATATGTGATATATGTGAGATATAATGAGGGAAATGTTGAAGAGTGAGGTGACCACCTTTACATTCTTTGTTTAGCCAGGCTACCCTGTGACCTTGAACAACAGAAGTTTTAGAAGAACAGATGAGAAAATGAGGAGTCAGAAAAAGGACATGAAATATTGAGGTATATAGGTCCCATGCCACCCCCTCTCCCAAGTGGGCTATTGTTACATGATCACTAGAAAAAATGGTCTTACTTTGTCTATTTATCCCAGACTTATTACTGTGTTGTAGTTGGGTGGAGTCTTCTCAAGGTACAGGGCATAGTGGCATGAAAAAATAGAACAAATGCACATAACTCACATTTGTGACTCTAAGTTGTATTTCCTCCATTAGGGACTATCCCTTTTACCTTAGCCCCATCATACCTAGGCAAGGCAGCTGTTTTATTAAAATAAAATGGTTGAATATGGTTACTTCAACTCTAGCCAAGAAACCAGATTTAAAATGGAGTTCCTTTGTTGCTTAAAGAGAAGGTAGATATGACAACAGAGCTGAACTGGAAACCTGAAACTGAACAAGTGAATGCTTTATATGAGAACATGAAGAGTAGACCTTAAGTAGTTTATGACAAATCTTAAGTCAGAGCTGGGGAAAAGGGCTCTCAAATTCCATTAGAATCTCTGAACGGGAGTAATCTACTCTTAATATCTTAATTTCTTAACTTTGTCTTTACTTCTTCCTTTCTTATTAAAAATTTTTAACAAACTCTACCATAAAGGAATGGGTTTTGAGTTTTAGAGTCTACTAATGATTAGTGTTCTCATGTGTTATTAGCATTATTTAGGCCATTGTTGAATGACTCATCAAATCAGAGATACACTCAAGTGCCTGAGTGTTCCTTTGTCAGCAGCTGCTGTCTACCCAAACTTTAGGGAAGGGAGTGGCCAGGATGTGGGGCAGTGGGAAAGGAGTTTAGACCTCTAGGATTCTGGGCCACTCACTGTTCAACTCTTTTTGCCTGTTCCATTTTGCAAATTTATTTTGAGACCATCTATTTCAACTTCCTC